CCAATTGGTTTCTTCAAGGCATCTAGAGGATTGCGCCAAGGTGACCCCTTTCACCCTTTTTTTTTACCATCTATGGTGAATGCTTTAGCTTGATGCTGACAAAGGTGGAAAGGGCTGGATATTTCTCGGGATTTAATATTGCAAGCTCATCAATTACAATTTCTCATTTGCAATATACAGATGACACTCTAATTTTCTGTGATGCAAATATCCATCAAGTGAAAGGTACTGCGAGATTTTTAGAGTGTTATGAGGTAACTTTAGGTCTAAAAGTGAACTTTAACAAATCCCCTATGATTGCTATAAATTGTCCTAAACCTTTAGTGGAGTTTTTGGCTAATGCAATGGCGTGTAAAGTTAGGTCATTTTCTTTTGTCTATCTTGACATATCCATTTTAGATTCAAAGTTATCTATTTCTGTTTGGGACAAGATTTTGGAAAGAGTATAACTAAAGCTTGATTTATGGAAACCAAAATATTTGTCTCTAGGAGGCAGGGTAACTTTTCTACACTCATGTTTGGCAAATTTACTGGTGTATCAAATGTCGTTAAATTCTATCCCAAATTCAATTGCAAAAAAATTGAAAAAATGATGAGAAATTTCCTATGGGGTAGCTATGGAGAGAATCGGAAATACCATTTGCTAAGATGGGATAGAATTTGCACCCCAAAAAGAGAAGGAGGCTTGGGTATTCGCCAAATTAGAGATTTTAACCAAGCTCTTGTATGCAAATGGTGGTGGCGCAACATTCATTTGAATGATCATTTGTGGTACGGAGTTTTATGTGCGAAATATGATTTAGATGATTGAGGGGTGGTAGAAGAAAGAATGTTTCACAGCTGTGGAAAAATATCTTGAGTTGTTGACCAATGATTTCTGGTTACTTTCGATGGAATGTGGGTAATGGAGTTCAAGTGTCTTTGTGGCATCACAAGTGATTGGGAGATTATCCGTTGAAATCAAGGTTTCCTGATCTTTTCAAAATGGTGGCTAGGCCTAATATGCTAGTAAGTGAGGCAATAGAAAGGAAGGGCCAAAACATTTATTGGGATATCTTTGTATCATATAGTCGGCTGAATAATACATTATTGGCTCAATGGTGTCAATTGATGGAAATGTTGGACAAAGTGTATATCTCTCAAAATGCTGATGATGGATTGATTTGGGAGATACAAAGTGATGGAATATTCTCGGTGAAGTCTTGTTATAACTTATTTTTTCATGATAGATGGAGATAGTCATGCACACACATAGCACAAATATAGAAATGGCCGATCCCACATAAGGTTCAAATTTTTATATGGCTGGCTGCGCAAGACAAAATTCTTACAATTGATAATTTAATTAAAAGGGAGAAGATTATTCCAAATATATGTCTCTTTTGTAAGGATGATGGTGAGTCTGGGGCACATCTCTTCATCCATTGCTCGTTCACAACGAGATTTTGGTATTGGCTCTTTAGGGTGGTTGGGATTCAGATGACACTACCCCAAATTGGTGACTTGTTGTCTTCTTTGAAAGCACCGTTTCTACCCAAGACTGGGCGCATAGTATGGAAAATTATAATTTGAGTGATTCTTTGGGAGATATGTAAAGAAAGAAATAGAAGGACTTTTAAAGGTGTTGTTTGTTCTTTTGAAAGACTTATTCACGTTTGTAAATGCTCTATATGGTCGTGGATTTCAGTGAATAAATAAGGATGAGGTATACCTAAGGTGGATGTGATGGCTAATCTGCAAAATTTATTTTATTTTGGTTCTTGCATATCGAGATCAAGAAGCTTCTTGATTGCTCCGTGTGCAGGCAGCTTCAAGCTTAATTTTGATGGAAGTTCCTTGAGAAACTCGGGATTAGCAAGAATTGGACGTATTTTACGAGATTGTTTTGGTAATGTTATTTTCTTTTATGCCGGCCCAATTGGTTTTGCAACTGCTAACTTTGCATAACTAAGTACTTTGTTGTGTGGTTTGAAGATTTTCATTGGAAGGCATATGGGAAAATGTTGCACGATAGAAGGTGATTCCTTAAACGTTATTCGATGGTGTAAGAAAGAACAAAAAGCCCCTTGGGAACTTCGACCTTTATGGTTGGAGGTAATGGATTTGACTGCTAATGCAATCGTGTCCTTCGCTCATGTTTATAGAGAGATTAATGATGTAGCCGCCTTTCTTGCTAAGGGGAGAATTTCTATTTCTACTCTTTTAGTTTTTGATGATGTAATTTCATTTTCGTAATTGAATAAAAGTAATGATGTTGATCAAAAAAAAAAAAAGAAACACCACAAGTGAGGTAGAGAGAGAATACGCCACAAGATTTCTCCTAATCTTCTAATCTCATAATCCCTGATATTTCTCCTAAATTTAGGGGCTCAATCTAGTTGTTTCCCCCTTATTTTATCGGATAACTATGACTTCAGAGAGGTAGAGAGAGAATACGCCGCAAGATTTCTCCTACTATTCTAATCTCATAATCCAGACTTGTCCTAAATTTAGGGCTCTCCCCTCTGATTTTATCGGATAACTATGACTTCAGAGAGGTAAAGAGAATACGCCACAAAAGAGATAACATTTTTCGGTTCTTTCAAGAACCGAAAATTTTAAATTTTCTGTTTTTCAAAAACTGAAGTTGGACTGATTTAGGTTTTTGAAAAACCGAAAATAGGTAGTTTCATCTTTTTTAAAAAAAAATTGTTATGAAGTCTAAAAAGCAGACATATCAAGAATAACGACAAGTATTGGTATTATAATAATAATGAAAACTAAAATGAATATTTACGTAATTTTCCCTAAAAAAAATAAGGGCAACAAATCAATGTCAAAGTTAAATCTTTGTGTTTTTCAAAATTATCTCTTTCTGATTTACTTTCCTATTGTTTTAGCTTTCTAATTTATCGTATATTTTAGAAATATGTTTACTCAATTATCTCCCTCACATATGCGTCTCTAAAGTGTCCCATGTATTCCTCTCTCCTAAAAATCGCTCTTTACGTCTGTCACCCTCTCTCTTTTATGTGCTCTTCTTGATAATCTCTCTTCCTTTCTAATTTTCTTTCCTATTTCTCATTTAAAATCTCTCTTAAATGTTCCTTCTCTAATTTATTCAATACTTTAAATTTCTTTAATTACATATTCCCATATATCCTTAAAAACTTTTTATCCCTCAAGTATATCTGTCACATATTGCTCTCTACGTCATCTCTCTCTCTAGTTCTAATGCTTTCATATATATTTTTTCTCTAATACATTCAGCATTTTAAATTTTCTTGACTATATAATTCCACATAAGGAATGCACCTTTTGCATGAATTTACAATACGAAAGGGTACGTCATGCATTCCCATAAAAATACATATAACTTTGGAAAAATTACTTATGGACACAAAACTAATGAAAGAATATATAAAGTCAATATTTTCCCAAATATGCGCTCACGGGTTTCCATTATTTTTCCAATTTTCCCCTCAAACCTTTTTTATTTTTTTATTTTTTCTTTTATATTTTTTTTATTTTTTCTCAAACGTTGGGTCATCACTTAAGATTTAGGTCACTTCTAAACCAGTCCAAAGTCAAAGACCTCAAACCAAACCACTTCTATGTGGCTTAAAGCCATAGAACTAGCGGTCCATTGTCCCTTACCGTGAACCGCTCTATTTAAAGCCACAGGCTAGTAGTATGAGGTCAAGAACTTTAGTTTGCTCTCTCATTGGCCTAAAGCAGCAGCACTAGCAGTTGAGGTCCTGGACATCATACCACTCTATTCGTGGTTTGAAGCTACAGTACTAGTTGAGGTCTTGGACCTCAGACCACTCTATTCGTGGTCTGAAGCTAACAGTACTAGCAGTCAGAGGTCCCTAACCTTGGACCGGTCCGAAGTGACCTAAATTTTAGGTCAGAGCAATACGTTCAAGAAAACAAAAAGTATAAAAATATAAGAATAAATAAAATCGGTCTGATGTTGGTAACATGAGACTGAGTGGCAAACTGGAAAATAAAATAAAATAAACACAAAGTGGACCGATTTTGTGCATAATATTTGAGAAAATATAGACATTGCCAAATTTTTCCATTAGTTTTTATATCCGTATGTAATTTTTCCTTCACCTTTTTTCCGAAACTTCCATATATCAGGTACTGCCTTAAATCCACTCTAAGATTAGGATCCCTTCCTATTATTACCGCAAATATCACCCCCTTAACCTGAGCTTAATGATGCAGTATAAATAATTTTATGCCCTTTTTTGCCATTGTGGTCTCCCTTTTCACAGCTCTTCCTTCCCTATTTAGTTGTTGACTTGCACTCACTGTTTTAGGGCCCTTTGGGCATTTCATTGCGAAACTGGGGACCATAGCCCCCAAGTAGGCAAAACACACACACTCTCAAATTCATTGAAGACCAGGAAATTTTCCATTGTTTCTAGAAATAGGATGGATGGTGAACAGGTCAGGAGAAAGAGACAACATCCATAATTCGGGTACCGTAACAAATATATGTAAATACAATTAACATAACAAATATAGAAAAAGAAAATGGGAAAAAGAAATGCCTTAACGCCCCTACTCAATGTAGTCAGGCATATTATTTACGTCAAGAAAAACAAAAACATCGGAAATGGGGTTGAGCTCGTGGTGGTAACACCATTTGAGCCTCAACTACTGGTCTAGGTTTTCATTCCCGGATTCAAAAACCGTTAATTATCTCTAAAAATAGGTAGAAGCCTGTATTCTCCACTGATCTACCAAAAAAAAGAATAAAAGAGAAGGTCATGCACATTACTAAAGTGAATAAAGGTTTGTCTGTTACTTTCTTTCCTAATACATTCATAATTTGAAGAGGGTTTGTCTGTTACTTTTCTTTCCTAATACATTCATAATTTGAAGAGAACACATGAGCATCACTAAAATTAGATCCAATGAAGAGAGAGCGAGAGTATATATAGAAAGAGACACCATGATTCATATGAACGAACATAATGAGAGACAGGTAGACTGTAAGAGAGAGAGGAGAGAGAAACTTCTTTTTTTGTAACAGCATTCCACTTTTCACTGTGATATAATTTTACAATCTTACTTACAAAGAGGCTAGCCCCAACAACCTTTTCCAACACGAGAAAGATTTTCCTTTTTCCTTTTTCTCCTTTCTCTTCTTACCTTTTCATGATCAAGGGGTCCCCTGTAAATTGAATGATGATGGAGGGTAAAAATGTGGGTAACTTTACAAGGATGCACTCATTCAACCCAAACAACCAGAAAAAAGGCAAGGGGTAAACAAGCTATCTGAGGACCCTTTCTCCTTCTACACAGACTGGGCATCCCTATCATGTCTTCACTGTTTTCTCAAGGTCATGTCTAGTGAGAAAAGCCAATGTCAAAAGGAGATATGTACATGGCAAGTCAAAAGCACATCACGTATAAGATCTGACCGATCCAAAGTTGTAAAGAGATTTTGATCTGAAAAGGTTGCCGAATAGGAATCGGGTTGGTGCTTCTTGAGGTGAGGATCTTGGATATGAGGGGTCATCTTTAACTTGGAGAACGGTTTGGCCAATCTCTCTTCTCACTGATTCGACAGTTTTGGGGTCGACGGGGTTTCCTGTAGCATCTCTCACATAGAAAGTGTTAACGGCTTTGCCATTTCTTGTTGAGACCTCAGCTCTTATGACAGAGAGGCTGTTCTCTCGGAATATTCGGGTGACATCAGAGAGGAGGCCAACCCTATCGGTTGTGCACAATTCAAGCTTGAGTCCCTGCAAAAACAGACATTAGAGAGGTAAGATGAGCGTGCTCGACTTGAAATCCTTGAAAAGAATGAAGTGAGGGTCTCTCTCTCTCTCTCTCGAAAATGCACAAAATTAGTTGAAACAATGCACACACACACAAGCATACTAGCACACAACACATAAAGCTATGGAACCACAAATGATATACCTCTGAAACTCTTCTCTCAATAGCTGCTTCCAAGCACTGGACCACACGCTGTCTCTCTGCCTCTGAATTTACAGGGCACCCATCTATGTGTCTTATGTAGTACTCCTTCAAAAAACAAACCATAAACAAAGTTCAACTTTTTTTGTTTTTTTAAATATTCGTGTACCAATTTTTCAAACAAGTTCCTTAGATGAATAGGTCAAAAACAGATTTTGCTATGGTTTCAAGAAACATTATCATACAAGCGAATTTCTCCAGTACTCTGAAATTCGACACTAAGAGGAACTCATAGATAACAAAATGCTAAAACACATACATACAAACATATGCAGTATTTATATATAACAGTCAATAAATGAATGTACGCATGAGCTACATTCATATTTATGTTCATCATGTACAAATTTAAATGAAAAATTGGGGGATCCATGATCAAATTGATCAACGTATGTATATTATGCCGGGACACATAAAAAGCAGAACTATAAGCAGGTGCCTAGACCTAGAGAGGCCGTGTGCATAAGTTAAATATGCATATCTGAGTGAACGTCCCAAATACCTGATAAGCCTCGGGCCTCTCGGCATCGACCGTGGCATGGAATACCACATACTGCATATCCGTCAAGGTGCACACGGTATCGAACAAGAGCTTCGGCCTATCCTTACACCTAATTGTGACCACAGAGTAGTCCTTCTGAAAGCAATCTATGACCGTCACTTGGGGCCTCAAACCCTCATCCACTGAATCCTGACCATCCCTTTCATAATCCCTATCAGCGAACATCATCTGATGAAGCCTCCTCTCAGTGTGTGTACCCCCCAAAGAAACTACAGTTTTGGCACCCCTCGTTTTGTTATTCCCTTTCAAAACATTACAAAGCAACTCCTTGATTTTCGCGAGCCTTTGGGGATCGGAAATGGGGGCGCTGGTTGGGTCGTCAGTGACATGCATGACAGCCGCGGCACGAGTGTTGTGCGTCCAGACCTCAGCACTGACAACGTTGCACTTGAGGTGTGTGAGGACTGCACTGACCTCCGAGAGAAGGCCGGGCCGGTCCGTGCCTGTCAGCTCAATGGAGGTGTAGTTGGTCGACGGCTCCACCCCCACAGAGCGTCTTTGGGAGGGAATGAAAGAGGAGTCAGCACCCAAGGACTGCGTATAAAAATGAAATTGGGTCAATACGAGTTTGTGTGTGTGTGTGACCACGCACATGTGGACTTCTCTTTCCCAAAGACTGTAGATAAATGCTGATAGTCTATTCAGATGTGTCCATGTGCATATGCATGAGAAAGAGAGAGAGACATGAAACATGGGAGTTCCATTTTTTCTTTCAGTCATAGCAAGATTTCTCCAGGATGTCATTAAAATCCGAATGCTCAGATGTGTGTTGACATTCACATGCGCATTCGCTAGAGTGTGTGTACACCTGTGTGAGAGAGAGAGAGATAGAGAGAGGGAGAGAGAGAAACGGATTTGTCGAGATATAGAGAGAAAAAACTCCCAAGAGATGGAGATTTATTAGTTTCATGTTTAACATAACAAAGTTTATCAAGGATGAAAATTAAATCCTTAGGCTCGGATAAGTATGGATGTATAACATTCAGAGATTGAAATTTATTAGTTTGACATGGTATGAAATGTTCAACAACTTAGGTTTGCAACCCTGAATATGTTAAATCTCGAGTCCGAGAACCAGTATTTGATGAAAGGGGAGCAGGGCATCAGCTTACATCAGTCCATACCGTTTTTTCCTGAAAGACAATTTTATGCCCTTTCCCCAATGTGTTTTGTGTGTGTGTGAGAGAGATTCCTTTGTTTCACAATAAAAACGTAAGATTCTTGATTCCAAAGTTCGAATTATAAGCAAAATCAATGTAAATCCCAATGTACCATTTGATAAAAATATAGCCAGTTGAAGTTCGAGTCTCAAAGATCTTTTATTAGGAATGGTGTGAAACACAAATGAGCCCCCAGAACTGTATAGAAAATAAAATCCTAATACCTCATATGATTATGGAAGCAAGAACCCCATTTGCAAGGTGGAAATATTTGATAAAGTTACAAGCCAATCAACTATTCAAATTTGACAGATCTTCTTGAAGAAGATATGAAACAGGAATCAGCTAAATCAAAAAATGTAATTCAAAGACTAGCCCCTAATGCTGTTGGAATGAAAATCCATATTTGAAAGCTGACCAACAAATTCCACAAAAAGAAAAAGTGAAAGACAAACGGAGGATGCAGAATTGAAAACTTAATGGGTTATTCAAGAAAACATAGAAAGCATGTAAATTTCCCAGGGAAAAGAACTCAATTGAGCAAAACCACAGATAGCATGGATTATTTGCAAAAACATAGAAAAAATGTGAATCTGCAAGCATAGGCCAGAAAAACTAGGCGAAAACCCTTGAAGACTCATGAGAAGAAACTAGTAAAAAGAAATCCTTTCAGGGAAAATCCTTAAATCACACTGGAGAACCAAAACCCGACTTGCAGGCTCAAACTGGTGCAAACGGGCTAATTGCAAATTCAAAAGAAAAGCTGCAAGAACACACCTTGCGAATGTAATCCATAGTTTCTTCATCTCTGAGCTTCTTCCCATCTCGATCCGTAACATTGAAAACTGGAATAAACCCAAAGTAAAACCATAAGGGGAGGGGGAGGGGGAAAGGGAGAGAGAGAGATAGGTGGGGGCGCAGAGAAAAGAGCGAGAGACTTACCATCCATGAACCATCCTCCATCAGATGATATGTAAGCTTTCTTTATGACGAGGTTCAGATCTGTAAGAACTTGAACAACTTCAAGTAGAATGCCATGCTTATTTGCACTATCCACCTGAAATCATTAACAAAAACAAAAAAATCAGACCCAATTCAAATATCATAATGATCAGAGGAAAAATGCATTGAGAGAGGGAAAAAACCAACCTGAATAACTGTGGCATGTTCGCAAGATTCATTGTCAATTACAACCCTATAGAGAAGAAATTAGGCATTACTAAGTAGATTTGCAGTTGAAAATCACCATTATTAATTAAAGAATCATACTAAAGTCGGATGATATACCTCGGAGGATTCATTCTTCGAATCAATTTCTCATATTCGTCATCCATGTCCCAAGAAGAGCTAAAATCTGACTCTGAGAACAAGACCAATACCAACAATCACAAACTGGAAATCAATAAACTCTAGAGAGAGAGTCTAAGAATGGAAATTGGGGAAGCAAAAAAACTGTAAATTAAAATGAGAGAAAAGTTTTAAAGATGAATTTTGAAGGTAGGAAATAAAACATAAGCAGAGAAAAGTTGTAAAGATGAATTTTGAAGGTAGGAAATAAAACATGAGCAGAAAACGTAAGAGAGAAAAGTAAGATTGAAACTAATCAAATGGAAATGGAATTGAAAAGAAATGGAAATAGAATTGAAAGCAAATAATAGAAGAGACCTTCAAACCATCAGCTTCATATAAACCACAAAAAAAATGGAAATAGAATCGAACGGAAGTAATAGAATAGACCTTCAATATACAACCAGAAACAAAATTAACAGAAGAGAGGAAAAGGGGGAGAGAGAATCAGATAACATGAATTCTCTCAAACAAGATACCAAGCGGTTTCGTATATGGCCATCAACATATAATTCAAAGGAAAACCAAATCAAAAACTAAAAAAAAAAAAAGAGGGGGAGAAAGAAATCCTTCTACTTCTTCTTTTCCCGCGAAGATTAACACAAACCCAAAACGCAACAGAACCAATAACGCCAAAAACAAAACCAGAAGATGAGAGAAACTATATCGCAAAAAATTTTCTACAAGGACCAAAACCACGGCCTCAAACCAGATTTCTCTCCATTAAATCCAGAAAAGAAGAGACCTAAAAGCCCACATACCCATGAAAGTGAAAGCAGAGCGTCTAGAGAGAGAAAGTAAGAGAATTACTCCTTTTGCTTGCTCTTACAGCCTGTAAGTGTGAATAAATAAATAACAGAGCAAAAGCACCTCTTCCTTCTCGCTCAAAATCGTGAAATATCTCTCAAGAATCACAGAGAGAGAGACGAAACAATAAATTAATATTACCTTCTGTGACCCCTCCACTCTCTCTACCCAATCGCCTCCTCCGACACGAAAATCTAAGCCTGCAACTCCTTGCTCCACTGTCTCTTTCTCTCTCCTCCAAATCAAAAGTACATAAACACCTCTCTTTCTCTCTCCTCTCTCTTCGTGTTCCGCAGTACGAAAACTCTCTCCCCGACAATTCTATTTCTCTCTCCTATTGTTCCCCACTGCAAAACAATCTCTCTCTCTCTCTACAAATTCTCTCTTTTTCTCTCTACAAAGTCTCTCTCTCCACACCAATTGACATGATTCTCTAACCTTTCTTTCTCTCTCTATCTCTACCTTTCTTTCTCTCTCTATCTCTAACTTTCTTTCTCTCTCTAACTTTCTTTCTCTCTCTCTCTAGAATCTACTCTCTCCCTCTAGAATTCGTGGACCCTTATGCCGGATGTGCTTGCTCCCTAGTTGCTCCTATTCTATCAGTATTTTTAAAACTGAATGAAAGACCAAGCTGACCCTAACTTCTTGTAGAAGTACAGAAAAGTCCCTCTAAAGTCTGCTAGAAAGCCTACTCTTTTTCAAGAAAAAGTTGGTATGCTCAGCTAATGAAAAGGAATAATACAAAGGGGAAGTTCACTTTGACCTTTAATTTTTATATAATTTGAGACAGTTATATCCTACATAATAATTTGAATAACGATGAGATTATGTTGCATCCTCGGCAGCATGTCTTCACCCTTCGAAAGTTATTTTGGAAATAGATCAAGGATTCAAAAATTTATAGATCCATCTTCTAAATATGGGTGAAGATTTAAAAGAATTTTAAATCTTAAAAATAATTTATTTTATAATCTTTATTTAAATGTTGATTTTGTTTCATTGTAGGCTGTTTTGGAGCTCTATAGTTCCTAGATGAAGAGAAAATAGAAACCAAGGGGGATCCATGATGTGGAATCAAGAAAGAGTTTCCGTCCTAGTAAAAACTAAAATTACATGGGGGAGGCAAGGAAAAAGCATAACAATGTAGCAAAAAAGTGGATAAAAATTATGAATTACATGAATTAGAAGTGCTTAATAGGGTCTATCTCTTACCCTTGCCAAGCACAAACAAAATAAAAGGGCAAAGAACTTTCCAATTTCTATTGAGCACTTAATTGATAAGACATTGGGCACTCTTGGTATGTATGAAAGTATTTTCACATGAAAAAAACTCCCCCATGTGATTAGGGTTGGGAATTTTTTTCACACCAATTGGCTGTCAAATGGTGTGAAAAGATGTGCCTAAATGAATTACGTAAAAAAAATCTCACACATGAAAAAGTTTTTTCACGTGAAAATACTAACATATAAGTATTCTCATATGTACAAATACGCATATCAAAGGAGAAAAATTTGTTCCTTTCAAATAAGCAATTCTTAAAAAAAAAAAAAAAGGCCAATTAAAATGGAGAAGCTATGGCCAATTCATAGAAAGTTAGGACCTCCTATGAATTCATAGGTTTGTTTGGGGTGGATTTAGTCATATGGGGAGTTTTCCGATTGTTAGGGGGAATACAAATTCACAAATATTTATTTTTTGGTTGTTTCCTTTTACCGGTATTTATGCATTTTTTTCTGATTTATTATTCAAGTGGATGAAATTTAAAAAATGTAATTTTATGTTAGTGTAGGGGCACATGGATAACGATCCTAGTGGTCGTGTGGGGTCAAATGGGGGGTGTCTGCCACCGCCGTGTCGGACGGCGCCAGTGCCGTTCTCACGTGTCCTCTCTGACACACGTGTCGCCCACCACCTTGACCAACCTCTAAATCACATGGCTCAGGTCCCTCCTTCCTTTAATTAATCGCCGCGATTAATCGCACTAGATCGCCTACTTAGAGTCGAGGTTTCATCTCACCATCTCCCATCCAAATTTTTACCCCATAATACAAGGACGCGGTTAGCATGCTACAAATGCGGGTTTGAAAACAATAAATTTTTTTTTTAATATAATTTTAATTAATTTTTAGAGAATATATAATTTTTATCATTGGATATCATGAATATAAAAAATAAATATATTTTAAAAATAAAAATAATAATTATATTAAAAAAACATTTGACACCTTAGTTACAATCGTTTTTAAATGAACCACCTAACACCCATATTTAAAAGATATTTTATACCTCAAAACCATGGATGTTTTATACCTCAAAACCCCATATTGTACATATGCGGGTTGGGTCCACCTCGCATGAAACAATTGTTCAAAAAACAAAATCGCCCCTCCAAATTCCCAAATGCAATTGGCCTTCTTAAGTTGTAAGATCTCTTTTCCTCAATAGGGAAATAATTCTCTTACCTGTAGTGGAAATGGAGCTCACGTACCATTTTAAAATTTTTTCTTAACAAATATAGGTGCAAGAGGATCGAATCTAAGACCTCATACAAAAACATCTTAGAATTTTGGTTCTTTTTTTATATATATAGTTAAGTAATGAACGTTTTTTTAACTATTATAGGAATAGAATTCAAACCGTCATTCTGTAGCGCCCTGCCACCCTGACCTCCCAACCTTGAGCCTATTCCTTATTTAAGAAATCTACCTTTTAGGTTTTTTTTTTTTAGAAATTTTCGTATAAAACCCTAATTTCTCATATTATTTCACGCAGACCTTCCTTCTATTTTTTTTCAAACGGTATAAAGAAACCCATAAAGATTTTACCATACCTCTCATCTATTATCTCCCTCTTTTATTGTTTTTTTATCATAAAAATTAGCTTCAAAAAATCTTTTTATACAATTTCAACCCAAAAACATTTTTAAATGTGTGATGGGTGGAAAAAAAAAAAAAATTTAAAAAGGTTTTTGGGTTGAAATAGTATAAAAAGATTTGTTGGTACAGTTTTTATAGTAAAAAATCAATAAAAGAGAGAGATAAGAGATAGGTTATAAAACATGATGGGGTTAATTTTTAAGAGTTTCTTTATGCCGTTTGAAAAAAAAACGGAAAGAATGTCTACCATAAAATAATATAAAAAATTAAAATTCTATATGAAATTTTTCTTCTTTTTTTCATTTAGTGCGCAGGCCAAATTTATGCTAGTTTCCTTTTCTGGACGTATTGCTTAAAAAAATGGATATCATGTTGGAAAAAAAAAGTGGTTCTCTCTCTCTTAACTCGGAGTTCCCATAATAGATTCCAAGAAACCTGTTAGAGGCACACGAGGACCTGGTTCTTCTTTGTTTTGTATTCTTTCCAAAAGTAAGGGGCTTGTTTTGCTTTTTTGGCAATATACTCAGTTTTGGTTGTGAATTTTATAATTTTCCAATCTCAACGATTCTTTACCATTTCCTTACTTTATAGAAACCAAAGCAAATTTTCTATTCCAGGCCCGCTCAAATTTTATTTAAATTAGAATGAAACCATGATTTCCATTTTGAACCCTCTAAAGAGCTAAAAATAAACACACAATCATAATTCTGAATTCCAATTTCTATGAACAAAAAGCTTGAGACAAAAATAATTCAAAAGCCCAAAAAAAAATGAAAAAGGTTTTTGTATATGGTGTCAACCTCATACTGTACAAGTAAGGTGCACCTAAAAATTTGCTAGAGAAAGTTGTTCTTATACTGAAAAACTCTCAAATCGGTCATCTTCGAGATATATAGAAATGAAAAAAAAAAGAAAAAGGATTTCTGATCTTAAAAATAGCTCATCTACCAACATATTATCTAAACCATCTATTTTCAAATATTTTTAGAACTGTTTCATGATTACTATTTTTTTAAATTTAAATTTTATAATTAAAAAAAACAATAGATTTTTATATAAACGCAAGGTTTTGTGGCCTCGAAACTGCATTTTGAGCATAGTTTTGATATACATAATAATGACACCCTATAAAAACTTCACCCAATAAGAAAAAAAGACATTGTCATTGACAGTTTTTATAAGGACTCAACATTGCCTAACCTTTTTTAATTTATTTATTTATCACTAAAATAGACAAAGAAACACCCCCCGAATAATAGGCAACGTGGTCGCTGCCGCCCCCTTAGTCTCCTTTTATTTTGATCTTGAACAATCTTTTACGGAGTGGGCCTTGGTGGCCCAAGCAATTGACTTTAGTCTCCTGCAAAGTCCATCTTTAAACGTAAAATTACGTGTCAATAATCTCAGTTACCAATGGTTATGAATAAATAGATCTTAAAAATAATAGTTTTAGACTTTGTTGTAAGATTGTTAATTTGTTTTCTTTTAAATTAATTTATTTTAAGGCTTAATTTATTTTTTCATATTCATGAGCATTATAGCTATGATTATCGATTTGAAAAAAAAGTACATCTAAAATCTATATTTTAAAATGGAAGTTTTTATGAGTACTTGTAGAAATGAGACATCTCTTAAAAATCTATTTTTGAGATGGATTGTTGGACTTAATTTTTATGGACATATAATCTATAACATGGACATCATGAATGTAAAAAAAAAAAAAAATTTGAAAATTTTAAAAAATAATGCTATTAAGAAAATATTTGGATTGTTAGTTTCAATTGTTTTTAGATAGATCATCTATTTGCAACCATCTTTAAGATAGATACTTTATAACTCGGGAGACCGCAAATGTAAAAATGTGGTGCCCTCCGCATGAAACAATTTTCCTTTTAAAATTAGATCAGAATATCTCTGATTGAAATGGATTGGTTGTACCATTTTGCATCAAGCATATCTCTAATCGGAATTAAGCAAAGTAATAATAAATTCTATTAAACCAAAAAAAACATTGACGGCAAGCAAATTCCAAGGGCTATAGATCTAGGTAGTTTGAAACCTAGTCAGATTCACATTGCAAGGTTTTAAAACACTAATTTTAACTTTTGTCACTTGAAATACTTATTACAGAAAAATTTCAATTGAAAAGACTACATTTTTATAAAA